TCCTGAATTTACTAAAAACTCCCAGTACACTAGGAATATGGGGGATCTTCTTCAAGTGGATGTAGAATATCTACAAAAAAACCCTACAGCTAACATCATATTTACCAGTAAAAAAAAAAAACTCAAAACTTTCCCACTGAGATCAGAAACAAGGTAAGTATGTCCACTGTCACCACTTGTATTCAACACTGTACTGGAAGTACTTTGATAATTCAATAAGAAAGAAAAGAAAATACATGCATACAGATTAGGGAGAAAGAAATAAAACTCTTTTTGTGATGCCATGATTGTCGATGTAAAAACACAAAAGAATTGAAACAAATAGACAAAAACCTCCAGGAACTAATAAGTGATTATAGAAATGTTGTAGGATATAAGGTTAATATTCCAAAGTCAATAACTTTCCTATATATGAGCAATGAACAAGTGAAATTAAAAATGCAACACCATTTACATTAGCAGTCTCCAACAATGAAATACTTAGGTATAATCTGACAAAATATATATGAGATCTACATGAGAAAAATAACAAAACTCTGATGAATGAAATAAAAAAGAACTAAATAAATAGATATTCCATATAAAGAAATACTTAATATTGTCAAGATGTCCAATCTTCCCAACTTGACCTACCGATTCAAAGCAATCTCAGTCAAAATCTCAGCATATCAGTTTGTGGAGTCTAATAACCAGATTCCAGAGTTCATATGGAGAAGCAAAAGACAGAAGATTCAACACAGTATTGAAGGAGAAGAACAAAGTTGGAGAATTGACACTGATTTTTCAATACTTACAATGAAATTACAGTAATCAAGTCACTGTGGTACTGATTGGTCAACGAATAGACAAATAAATCAATGGAACATATAGACAGCCTAGAAATAAGCTGATATAAATATATTGAACTGATCTCTGGCAAGATAAAAGCAAAGGTAATACAATGGAGCAATGATGGTCTTTTCAACAAATGGTGCTGGAACAATTGGATGTCAACATGCAAAAAAGGGAACCTAGACATAGACATTACACTCTTCAAAAATTTAACTCAAAATGCATCATATATGTAAATATAAAATGCAAAATAATAAAACTCCTAGAAGGTAACATAGGAGAAAACATAAATAACCTTGGGTATTGTGATAAATTTTTAGATATAATAGTGTAGGCATGATTGATGAAAGAAATAATTAATAACCTGAATTTCACTGAAATTAAAACTACTCTGCAAAAGACAATGTCAAGAGAATTCCTGCTTTACAGAAGAGAGAAAATATTTGTAAAAGACACATTTTATAAAGGACTGTTGTCCAAAATATACAGAGAACTCTTAAAACTCAACAACAAGAAAACAACTCAATTAAAAAAAAAAATGAGCCAAAGACCTGAACAGACACCTCACTGAAGATATTAAATAGATGGCAAATAAGCATATGAAAAGATGTTTAACCTCATATGTCATCAGGGAAATGCAAACAAAAACAATGAGATACCACTATACACCCACTGGAATGGTCAGAACACTGACAACACCAAATGCTGGCAAGATGTGGAACAACAGGAACTCTTATTCATTGCTGGTGGGAAAGCAAAATGGTACAGATGTTTTGGAAGTTTCTTATAAAACTATACTCTTACCATACGATCCAGCAATTGTGCTGGTTGGCATTTGCGAAAAGGAGTTGAAAAGTTATGTCCACACAAAAACCTGCACACAGATGTTTACAGCAGCTTTATTTATAATTGCCAAAAATTGGAAGCAACCAAGATGCCCTTCAGTAGACGAATCAATGAACAAACTGTGGTATATCCAGACAATGGAATATTATTCAGCACTAAAAATAAATGAGCTATCAAACCATGAAAAGACAAAGCATATTACTAAGTGGAAGATGCCTGTCTAAAAGGCTACAAACTGTATGATTCCAACTATGTGACATTCTGGAAAAGGCAAAACTATGGAGATAGTAAGAAGATCAATAATTGCCAGGGGTTAGGAGAAAGGGAAAGATGAATTTTTAAGGCAGTGAAAATATTCTGCATGATAACATAATGATGGATACATGTCATTATCCATTCGTCCAAACTCAATGAATGTTTGACACCAAGAGTGAGCCCCAGTGTAAACTATGGATCATGGGTGATTATGATGTGTCAAAGTAGGTTCATCAGTTGTAACAAACATACCAGTTTGGTGGAGGAGGTTGATAATGGGAGAGGCTATGAATGTATTCGGGTAGGAAGACATATGGGAAATCTGTATACTTTCCTCTCAATTTTGCTATAAACCTAATGCTGCCCTAAAATTTAAAAAAGCACATGGAAAATATTACTTCTGACATAGTTAGTATTTGAGACATCTGCCTTGCAAGCTTAGAAAAACCGAATAAGTTAGTTGAAACAGTTCCTACTTAAGAACAGTTTTGATAGCTCAGGTTTATTATGAATGATTGTAATTGATACTCTGACCTTATTCAATGTGCAATTGGAAAGAAATCTCTGCATAAGAGCAACAAACTATCAATAGATTTTGCTGGTTTATTAACTCATACTATGTGTTTAAATATTATTAAGAGAGGTGGGCGTGTGCATTTTGTACATGTATATACTGCATTTCACATCTGAGTTGCTTTACCCAGAAAATATATTATTTATTTTATCTGGTGGCCCTTACATTATTTGATAAGCTATTGATTAAAGCATTTATTCTCTATTAAAACTAGTTTCAATATTGGAGCTGTAAAATGAAAAGGCCATAAAGAAGAAATGTAAGAAAAACATTTAACAGAACGAATATATGTTTAAGTCTTGGTTATCATAAGTCTTACGTAAATGTAATTTCTACAGCATTTACTAAAGTGATGGGTTATGAAAAAAAAACTAGATATACCATAATTTCAGAAACTACAATACCATCATACTAATTTTTGAGTACTAAAGGTATTGTTAAAGTGTAGTATATCCAAAATTTAGCTGGGCTTAGAAAAAAATAAGGGACTAGTTAGTAGTAGTTAGTACACACAATAGGTAAGGTACCCTAGTTAGTAACCCTAGTTAATACACAAACTAGGTAGTGTGCACCTGTAGTCCCAGCTACTGGTGAGGCTGAGGTGAGAGGGTCAAATGAGCCTGGGGAGATTGAGGATGCAGTGAGCTGTGATTGCCCTACTGCACTCCAGCCTGGGCAACAGAGTGAGACCCTGTCTGAAAAACCAATCAATCAATCAATAAAAAATAAAGTGTAGTATATCATGAAAAATCTATTTCTCAAAATCACATAGGATTTCAAAATAGCAAAATATAGGATATTTCATGGCAGTCTTTTCAGGCTCATTAAATGATTCACCAGACAGTTTCTGACTGGAAAAATAATAGTAACAATAATGTCAAGACAGGAAAGAATGTTTTTCATATTGAGAGACTTAATGAATCCAGAGTAAGCACTTTGAGTTAGGGAGGGTTTCTAAACACAATTCTGTAGTACCAAAAAATTATTCCAGAAACTATTAACACAAATAAATGAAAAATAAACAATTTTTTCAAAAGATACAACTCCTTTTATAGAAAGGAAAAACTTAAAATGATCATATTAAATAAAGAAATATTTCTGTTATCTTGGAAACAGAAAATAAAAGGATAGAAACATCCAAAAATGGCATCAAGATGAACGATCTGAATGGAAATCATTTGGATGAAGAAAACCTGATGGACTAGATATTTACAAAAGATAAGAAATGGAATAGTCAAATAACAAAGGAATAGAATACAAATAGGAAAAAAATTTAATGATCTCCAAGAAAGCGATCATGAGAAATATTTCTCAAAACTACTTTATGAGTTTTAACTCTTCTAAACCATAATACATGAAAAGAATTTTTGTAGTCTTATACTGTTCACCCTTAGTACAAAGAAAGGGAAAAAATAGTCATTGAGTTTTTAAAAAGTGGTACACTGATAAAGGCATGCTAACTGACTCAACAAAAATAGGCAAAAAAAATTATCAATCACTAATGCAACTGTGGCATGTCTTACATATATTTTCTTTAGAGTAAAATTAGTCATAATTATGAAATCTATTAGGTTATTTAACTTCAAAAGGAATAGAATACTTTTCTTTTTACAATAAGCATATTACATGTAAACACTGTCATCAGAACTTGCAGAAAAGATACATACTTACCTAAAATAGTAAATCATTGGATAAATTTCTAACTTTAAAATGAGGCAAATATGTTAAATTACAATACTATAATTTCAAAATGTAGCTGTACGTGATACTTAATATAAAAACAATTTTAAAGTTTCAAAAACTCTGATTTAAATATTTGACATATTTAGATATGGTGGTTACATAGAAAAGATTTCATCTTTTTTCCACCATATTAGTGCAGTATAAAAAAGTCTGAATTATGCAAGAACTCTTCCAATTTATTGTAAAATCCTTATTATTGTCTTAAAATATAAAATTTATTGAGATCTACTTATCTGGCATCTTTCAAGACTATTCAGTCTAATTGGTACAGGTGTTCCAGCAATTGGGATTTCTCAGGGGTTTAAGTTGTCATAGGTTGCCATAGGCTGTTTTGGAGGGTGAGGAGGCGAGTTGTTTATTTCTCTTTTACTTATTTACTTTTATGGTAAATGATGATGAATTGTACTCCAGTTTTTTTTTTTTTTTGAGACAGAGTCTCGCTCTGTTGCCCAGGCTGGAGTGCAGTGGCCGGATCTCAGCTCACTGCAAGCTCACGGCCTCCCGGGTTCACGCCATTCTCTCTGCCTCAGCCTTCCGAGTAGCTGGGACTACAGGTGCCCGCCACCTCACCCGGCTAGTCTTTTGTATTTTTTTAGTAGAGACGGGGTTGACCCTGTTAAGCCAGGATGGTCTCGATCTCCTGACCTCGTGATCCGCCCGTCTTGGCCTCCCAAAGGGCTGGGATTACAGGCTTAAGCCACCACGCCCGGCCTCCAGTTTTAATACTATAAAATAATTCTAAAATTCTTACCTGATACTACACCAATTCCATCATCACAGTCATAGTCAGAGACTTCACTATCACTTATTCTCTTTGACCCTATGAAGTAAACAACAGCAATAATTAAAAATTGTGATTATTTAAGGAAGAAAATTCCCAAACACCTGAAACACAAATGAAAATATTCTGAATGAATCAGTTAATAACAAAAAATATGTACAGAAGAAAAGTCATTATGAGCTTATTGTCATTTATTTTCATATACATTTCATGATGTGAGGATATGGGTAATGAGGAGTTAACAATTTATATAATTATTATTCTGGAAATATATAAGATAAAGTTCCTAAATGATTTAAAGCTTAAAATAACATTAAATACTAAATAATATGTGTAAGTTATCCAACACTGATAAAATCTATTAGAAAATAGATAAGTTAATTTTAGATGCTTATGGATAAAGACACTTAAGATCAGATAAATTTCAAAACACAGTGTGTTATATTCCAATGCATTAATGCGTCTTTTTCTAATATGCATGACCAATACATTGACTATGGTCAATTCCTTATTTTTCATGCTCATGCAGAGAAAGTATAATTCAGAAAGCAAACTCACTTAAGACATCTTAAATATCCTTTTAAAAAAAACTATGTAGTTTAGCTATTTCTCTATTGCTTTGTAAAGACAATAAGAAAAAAGTCATCCACAATACTAATACATAAAAATTGTGAATTTTGGTATGTTTTCTATGAAAAAAACTAGGAAAGGCACTCATAGTGATTACAATTCAAGAGCACCATGTTTGTGTTTTTCCTCACAAAACAAATCTATAGAAAAATTTTTAAATATGAATCTTACTATGGCAAAAATAGCATCAAACTAAATCAACCAGAGCTTTGAGGGCTAAAGCAGATTGACTACACGCTTAAATATGAAATTATTGCATATAAAAACAAACATGTGGTTATTTGTTTTTAAATTTTTTTCACCTCCATGTGTTTCAGGAACAGACACACCCTACACAACAGAATTCTTTATTAAAGCATTTTTCCCTTCCTTGGTATCAGAAAACATTTAATGAATGAAGACAGTGTTGCTATTTCAAAAAGATATTGTCTATTTTCTTACAGTATACATTATTTTTTACATGGAAATCGGTTTTGTCAGAAAATAAGTGCTTTCATGTATGGTTTATAAAACACTGAGAACTCACATTGCATGAGTGTCTAAGGCAGAGATCATTAAAATGTCCCAGAATTACCCTCAAGTATTTACAACCTACTCTTGCAGGCACCCGATAAATTTTTTGACAACATCGCAACAGACTGGGCACAAAAGCATTTAGAGAATTCAGACATACATTCGAAAAAGACTTGGGACAGAAGGGGTATCACATGAATGGGCTATTGAGGAGAACTTAAGGAGAACTGCTACCCAGCTTGTCTGTAAATGGGCAAGGATAGGGTAATGATTAGTTTACTATGTCAGGTGCACTCCAGAACAGAAAGATTACAAGTTTTCGGTATTTGTAAAAAATCAGATAAAACATGACAACAGCAAATGATGTTTATTTTATCAGCCTTTGTAAGCTGTACCATGTGTGGGTACATGGGTGAAGTGGCATATTTGGTTTGTAAATGCTGCCTCCTTCAAAATTGTATTGATTCCTTTCTAGATTGAGATTTTATCTGTTTGATCTTAACCCTATATAAGTTAAACATATTCCAATTCAGTTCCCTCTAATTGTCTCATCTTCTGACATTCTGATGAAAACAGGTTATTAAGTTCAGTATTTTCTTTTAAAATTAGTGGGTTGTTTTTTTTTTTTTTTTGAGATGGAGTTTTGCTGTTGTTGCCCAGGCTGGAGTGCAATGGCATTATCTTGGCTCACGGCAACCTCTGCCTGTGGAATTCAAGTGATTCTCTGGCCTCAGCCTCCCGAGTAGCTGGGATTACAGGCACCCAGCACTACGCCTGGCTAATTTTGTATTTTTAGTAGAAACGGGGTTTCACCATGGTAGTCGGGCTGGTCTCAAACTCCTGACCTCAAGTGATCCACCTGCCTTGGCCTCCCAAAGTGCTGGAATTACAGGTGTGAGTCACTGCAGCTGGCCAAAATTAGTGTTTTTAGTGTCCTATATATAATTCTTGCTTTATAAGCAAAGAGAGAGTCTCCCATATTTTCTTCTGAAAATTTAAAAATTTTGCTTTTTGCATTTACATCCTCATCTGTCTTGAACTGAGTTGGTGTATAGTATGAGATATAAATGCAATTTCACCTTTTCCATATGGCTAACCCATATCTCAGTATTGTTTATTTAATATTTCCACCTTTCCCAAATAATCTGTGATGTCACCTCTGTCATCAATAAATGTATTCTATCTGCAAGAATGTAATGCAATTCAAATCAAAGTCCCTATAGGATGATCTGTATTCTAATTTTTTGCCCCTTGTACAGGTTGTCTATCCACAAATCAATAACTCATTGTGTTTGTTACTACAATGTTACATATTGATGCAAATACATCCACCTTATTATTTTCATCTTGGATCATGCCCCTTTACTCTTTCATATAAATTTTAGATTCAAGTTATCATCTTGAACAAAAACATCCTATTGGGATTTTGATTTTGAATTTCACTGAATCAATAAATTAATTCAGAAAGAAGTGCCATATTTTACAGCATTGTTTTAGTAGTCAGGTACATGGCATTTTCTCCATCTAAGTTTGGCCTTTCTATAAAACTTTTAATTTTGGCTACTCAAATTATCCACATTTGTTGGATATATCCTTTCTATCTTATAATTTCAATTGCTATTAGCTATACAGTTAAGAACTATGTTTTCTAAATTAATTGCTCAGACACAGAAATGCAATTTCATTGTGAATGTTAACCAATAACCTTGTTAAAGTCTTTTTCTCTCTCTTCTTACTTCTATTAAAGTGATTCTGGTTTAATTTGAATTTTTCTATGTAGACAATCATCATCCCCAATCGTTATGTGTTTTTCTTTTTTTTTCCTGCCTTGCTATGCTGATAACTACAATGATAGAAAAAAAAAACCAGAAAAATTTTACATTCTTTTTAAAATTGTGATTTAAAATATAAGTTTTCTAATATTTTTCCCTTAGAAATGTTATTTGCTAAAGTTACACTTTATCACATTGGGGAATGTCTCTATATTGTTAGTTTGCAGAGGTTTGCAGAGTGAGATGTAATTTTTATTAAATGTGTTTTCTGCATCTATTGAATTAATCGTGCAGATTCTATAATTTAATATACTTATTTGGAAAATTACATGTAAATGTATATTACATATATATTGATATGATAAACGATTCTTTCATTCCTGAGTTTAAGTTCAGTGATATTTCTTACGGATTTTAGACTTTTACTTCTTAATTATTCTTTTAGAGACAAGGTCTTGATGTGTCACCCAGGTTGGGGTACAATGGCACAATCATAGCTCACTGTAACCTCAAACTCCGAGGCTGAACCAACCCTCCAGTCTCAGCTTTCTGAGTAGCTAGGACTACAGTTGCACACCACCATGCCTGGCTAATTTTTAACTTTCTTTGCAGAGACGGGGCTCTTGCTATATTGCCCAGACTGGTCTCAAATTCCTGGCCTCAAGCAGTCATCCTGCCTCAGCCTACCAAAGCACTGAGATTGAAAGCAATTTTTGCATTTTTATTTATTCACTCTAAGTTTTCAAAGTGTTTGCTGTAATGATCACAATTTTATTTTGTTATCAATTTATTTTCTGATATATCAATTATGTTTCCTTTGCATCCTGTAACTTCTTTTTATTCTATCAATAAATTTCACTAAAGGTTTATCGTGCTATTAATTTCAAGGGATGAACTTTTGGGCTCCATTATCCTATCAATTAGAAATTTGTTTCACATACTATTAATTTTTGTTCCTACTTTTATGATTTCTATCCTTCTGCTTTAAATTTGTTTCACTATTTTTTTCCCTAAACTCTTACATTGGATGAGTACTTTATAATTTTCTGCCTTTTAATGTTTACTAACATGAACATTCCCCTGTTAGCACTTCCCTATATTACTCAAATATTTATATGTAGTATATTGATTAAAGTTCTATTCTAGATATTTTCTTCTTAGGACTATAAGATATTTACCATATTTCTTAAATCCAAGACACTATCAACTGAGTGACTACTCATGATTTCAGAGATGCTAGAGCTTGAAAAAAATGCTGATTACAATATAAGTTTCTACTTTTTTAAATTTTCAAAAGCATGAGTACAATTTATCTTTCTTTTTACAATTGACGTGATAACACAGTATTAGAGAATATTACGTTAATTTTTAAAATTTGTCAAAAGGAATTATAAAATAGTATATTTATAACTCACATATTTTATGGTTGTAACAGAGGAATGTGAATTCATTAATTAAGTGCAGAATTCTTTATTTGACCACGAGATTAAACTTGTTAATTGTGCTGCCTGATTCTTTTGTAACTTTCCTAAATTTTTGTTTGCTTGACCTGTCAATGTTGGAAAGCAAATTATATTGGAATCTCCATAAGTGGTGGTAAATTTAATTTTTCTCTCTAGTGTTACTTTTGTATATTGCAGTTATTCCATGTAATTCATGCAGGTTGAAAAATATTTCAATAGATTTAGAAAAATAATTTGAAAAATTATTACCCCCAATCGTGATAAAATGTCTCAGCAAACTAGTAAAAAAAGAATGTTCATAAACTGATAAAGGGTATCTACAAAAAAACCTACAGCTGACATCACACTTAATTATGAAATACTGAATGTTCCCCCTAAGATAAAGAACATGTAAAGGATGTTCACTCCAAGGATGGTCCTTCTACTAAACATTATATTGCAAGTCCTAAAAAGAGCAATACAGCCAGGAAAAGAAATAAAAGGTATAGGCCGGGCGCGGTGGCTCAAGCCTGTAATCCAGCACTTTGGGGGGCCAAGATGGGTGGATCACAAGGTCAGGAGATCGAGACCATCCTGGCTAACACGGTGAAACCCCATCTCTACTAAAAAATACAAAAAACTAGCCGGGTGAGGTGGCGGGCGCCTGTATCCCAGCTACTCA